TTAAAGGAACACTCCACTATTTTTGAAAATAGGCTCATTTTCCAAACTCCCGTAGAGTTAAACAGTTGAGTTTTACCGTTTTCGAATCCATTCAGCCAATCTCCGGGTCTGGCGGTAGCACTTTTAACTGTAACTTAGCATAGATCATTGAATCAGATTAGACCGTTAGCATCTCACTCAAAAATGACCAAAGAGTCTCTATATTTTTCCCCATTTAAACTCTTCTGTAGTTACATCGTGTACTAAGACCAATGGAAAATGAAAAGTTGCGATGATATTACGCAGCGCCTGAAAATAGTCCCCAGCTAGGTAACTTCCAATAAGCCTATTTTCAGGCGCTGCGTAATACCATTGTGCCTGCTGCACCCATGGTACGGCAGCAAAGTTCCTTGATTATTACGCCGGAATGAGAGTATAGTTCCTAGCCATATCGGCCTAGAAAATTGAAACTTTTCATTTTCCGTTGGTCTTAGTACACGATGTAACTACAGAGGAGTCAAGTTTTAAATGGGAAAAATATAGAAACTCTTTGGTCCTTTTTGAGCGAGATGCTAATGGTCTAATCAGATTCAATGATCTATGCTAAGCTAAAGCTAAAAGTGCTACCGCCAGACCTGGAGATCGGCTGAATGGATTTGAAAACGGTAAAACTAAACTGTTTAACTCTAAGTGAGTTGGAAAATGAGCCTATTTTCAAAAATAGTGGAGTGTTCCTTTAACAACTCTTTGAGTAAAGAACAACTGAGCAAATACAAACAAATCAAAAGAATATTAATACAAAAAAAGTCAAACAGTTCTGGGGTGCAGCATGAAAAATAATCTGTTAGATGTGTAACAGCACTGCAAAGATCAAAAAACATTGAAGGCAGATAGTGACAACCCCGTCAGGGCCAGAAACTCAGAAAATGTGCGTCTACCACTTCGGCAAAAGCTTTTAAGTGCCACGTTACCTATTCAGAAATCTTTACCATTCATTTATTTTTCTGCTGTGAATTAAAGAAGATCACTTATGCATCCTATGTAATCCTTCTGAGGGGCAGAGAATCAGCCAGTCATACCTAACTTTTGAGAATGAGCACTAAGCATATTGGGTTTATTTTAGTTGGTCACTTTGATAGATGCCTGCGCAGCTGGAAGCGTCCTTGTGCACATGTAGCCCTTCTGACATCATTCATGATCACCGTCAGTCACTGGAGGACAAGGGGATATTAGGTCTCCAGTGTGACAGTAAAGTTTATGATCTGTTAACACGGGTATAACCCTGAAAAACCAGCACATGAATCACCAGATCGACTGCATGATTCCTCAAAGGTTAGTCTGAGTTGGAGAGCGCTCTCTGAATAGGTCTATAATCACCTGTGGATTTGAAAATAGAGAAGCAATGTATGTCAAAGGACAGTGAAAATAATCTATCATCTCAGGGCCTCGTGTTGCCTTGATAAGCATTTTATAAGCTTCCTTTCTCTCTGTCCCATTTCAGGCATTGCAGCCTACAGTTTGACTGCGAATCTGAGAGCTTGGACTGAGAGCAGCGGTCCAAACAACCAGGGGCTGGACATGTTTGGAGAGAGACTGCCATGAACTCCACAGTCACCTCTCAAACCATGAAGGAATTCTGGTTTTTCAGTTTGTCAAGTTCTTTGATCTGCTGTCTCAGAAACAGAATCCTGTGTGAAAAGAAAAAAGATTCATGAAAAGTCATTTAATTACGTATATTTGATCATTTAATCTAAATTGGGGTTATAGACCTTTGCTCTCTCAATGTGGCCTGGATTTCACATACTCGCACTAAAGAACGAAGGTTCTTAAGTTCGGTGCAGATCTCTGACATGTAGAGGGTTCCCATATTGTGGATATCCTCACGTAACCGTGACACCTGGGTGACAGGAATTTAAGATAAAGAGAATTTTAATAGTTGGAGAACTGATGTTTGATCATTATAAGATCGATGAACAGTTGAAGAGACAAAGGCATGCTCGTACCTGCTTCTCCACATGTTCTGCAGGCCAGCCTTGAACATGCTTGATGAGATTTTCATCAAAGTGCAATGCTAGAGAAGGAGTGAAAGTGCTTTGGGTTCGAGAGGTGCTGCTTGAGGCGATAACGCGGATGCCCGTACTGCAATTAGAGCCCGACAAGCCCTCTTGACTGCTATAAAACAAACATTCATTTATTAAAGAAAGAAAGAGAACCATTTAAATAGTTACTTGTTTAGTAAAATAACCAGGGCCGGCTCTGACCAATTTGGTGCCGTAGGCAAGATTTTAGATGGTGCCCCTGACATCACAGCCAATTCCACCACTCACCATTCACACAGAAACGGCTTAGCTTTATGACATAAAACAAATTGCATATGAAATAAGACAAAATTGCACAAAAATAAATAAACTAAGACATTAACTCAGCTAGCTATTTATATTAAAGAACTTTATCGTCCAAAGGCAGCTGCAATACTAACATTTAAATCTTAATTTCAGACATTCTTAAATTTAGGGATGCACTGATCTTAACTTTTCATGGCAGACTCCAAAACTGATTTTTAATGTATTTTATTTAAGCAAAAGACAAGAATTAATTAAATTATACTGCATGAAGAATATGGTTAGTTGCTTTATTAGACTATATTTTGATCTAAATTAGACTATAATTTCAAAATCTGAGGCAAAAACAGGATGGTCTGACTTTAGCTTTGTGAAATTAGGCTACATAAATATACCAAACAGCAGATGGGCTGAATGAAAATACAAATTCCCTGACAGCAGGTGGTGCTTAAGGAACAGCAGTGGTGCATTGTTTCCTTGATTACCGCTGTAAACACTAAATGCATTATACAGAGGCAAGATGAAAGGAAAATGCCATCTAAACTGTTTAAGACAGTCAGTTCCCCTCAGAGATACTTTCATACATCGTGAACAGTGAGATTGCTCTGCCTGCTAATGTATTTTCTCCTCTTTGCGTCTCTCGCTTCTGTGAACGCCGTTTACATACTCTGAAATAAAACAAAAAACCGTCCGGTTCCGGTCAATCGGTACATCTCTGCTCAAATTCAATTATTAAACTGCTTTTATTTTGGTGGTTTGCCAACAAATAAATAAATGCACTGCATGTTTCAGAGTGAAGCGCTGTGTGTCATGGGCTAAACATATTACCCACTCCACACAGCACATTGGTATTTTTAATGAATTAAATCGCAACCTTCACGATATGACTATGGCATTAAGCCATAATGCGATATCTATTATTTTTCGATATATAGTGCACCCCTAATTAAAATTATATTATTTAAAAAAATAATAAAAATAAAAACTCACTTCGCCTATGCGACGGGCCGGCCCTGAAAATAACAATAATAATGTTCATGCTTATAATAATAATAAATATGTAATAAATTGATAGTCTACACCAAAAAAAAAACAAAAAAACATCTACTCCACCCTCTTTTCGGATAAAAATTCTTATAATCAAAGTAAAAAGGGAACCGTAACTGATTTTCAGCATTCTCCAAAATGTGTGTGTGGTTGCATTTCAACACTGAAGAGGTAGATGGTGCTGTAGGACAACATGTGATAGGCTGCTTTTATATTACTAACAGACAAATAAAAGGTTCCTAATCACAGACCCATACATTTGCCTGTGAAGACGGGGATCAATAAATTCCAGAGGTTTGTCAGAGTTGACGGACTGCTGGGAAGATGATCCTGGTCTCTGAATTGATGCACTGACCTGAAATTGAAGAACAACAGTTTGAATATGAAGAGAAATGTGAATTAAATAATGGCAAAAATACTTACCTACAGCTGTACAACTTTAATAAAATGTGTTGGGACATAATGCATACACAGGGGTCCCAAAAAGTATTTGGACACTTAAGCCTCACTTAAATGTAGGAATATCAACTTAATACCAAATAGTGCTGGGCGGTATGACCAAAAATTTATATCACAGTATTTTTCCAAATTATACTGGTTTCACGGTACATGACGGTATTTTTTTTTTATGCATGACCGGGTGTTAACCATATTTTCTACTGATTGAGAGAGGATACACTGCAATATATTGACTTAGAATGCCCTATTTTACTGTCAAGATGAGTGAATACTGTCAAAAAATACCACACTAAATAGTGACTAAACACGACTCCTTTTAATACATGTTAACTAGGAGTCACTCTCATTTATAATCTCTCTCATCGTCTGATAAAATCAACATGCATCTACACTAAAGAGCGGCTATGCGGTTGTTTTGGCTATATTACTTTGTCTCATGCAGCGCACTGCCTGCATCTGAGTAACAAACTAAAAAAAAAAAAAGTGCATGTGATATTAACAGACGAACTACGCTCATATTTATAATTCCAAACAATCAGTAAGCGACAGGTGCTAGGAAATGCTGCTTTGTACTCATTTGTTGACGAGTTGGCTGCGGTGCGGCCAACTGAATGCGCTGCTTCTCTACCGCTCACTGCACAAAACAGACGCCGAGAGAGGTGACAGATGAGATGAGAGACAGCTATAGTATCAATATCACAAGAAGAGTGCCGTTTCCTCCAAAAATCAGCCTGATTACAAATGTGATATTAGCTGTGTCTCATTTAGAAGGCTGCACCCTCCGGAGGTCACATTCGAAGGCTGCATACATCATCGAGGCTGTCTCATTTCAGAAAAGCAAGTAGGACACTCCGAATGCGACCTTCGAATGTGACCTTCTTTCACAGGAATTCGGAGGATGCATGAGGTGTATCCTTCGCTGCTACAGATAACCCACAATTCTTTGCATCGCCGTGAACAACCGTTGTTAATTTGAAAAATGCAGGCGCCGGCAGATGTAACGTTTGTTTGTGTTATAAACGTAAAGATATAACGTTTGTTTTTAATATCCTCCTCCTTTTTTTCTCTAATAGATGCCTGCTGTAGGTACGCTGCAGCTCCTCAAACATTGAACAAAATAAAACAAAAGCATTTTTTTTTTTAATTACTTTCCAAATTTAGAAATAATTTTCCTTCATTTAAGTAGTGTGAGAGCGCAACGATGCTCTAAATGTGTTGGCATAGCAACGTGATACTTCCGGTTTCCTTTTCCGCCTGTCCTATGAAGGCCGTCTCGTTTAATTTTAGTTTGAGGACACTTCGTATATGCATCCTATAGAGGATGCGACCTCCAGAGGATTCGACCTCCGGAGGGTGCAGGCTTCTAAATGAGACACAGCTATTGATTTTATACAACTGTTCAATAACAAATTAGTTAATATTAAGAGACTTACGTTTTAGACAGTACATTTCCTCTTTTTGCTCTATTTCGCCAACAAAAATAAATCCAAGCACAGTCACAGCACTGTTTTGCGTCTCTGAGCAACATGACGGCATTTTGTTCTGAATGAATCATTCGTCAAATGATTCGGTTCAATCGCAATGACTCACTTATTAACAGTGACTTGCTGCCACCTGCTGGCAGTTTTAATTTCACATTTAAAATTTCAAATATTTCCAATATCAATATTCAACGTTTTAGGATGACAATATTAAAATATTATTTATGCTTGTGTAACTGCAGGCTAAATGCATTCATGTCCTGCATTACTCAGTAGGGATGCACGATATATCGGCCACCATATCGGTATCGGCCGATAAATGCTCATTTTCTCTGTTATCGGTATCGGCCCGATAAGAAAATTTGGCCGATATCTTTAAGCCGATAAATAATGCATTATTTCCTTCAGAGACGTTTGCGGCCTTTTGTGCAATTGTACGTTGTAATATTGTGTTTATTTGATGTATATCTGATTTATCTCACATAGAATGCATTTGGTTAAGTTAAAAGAGCGCTTCAGTTTACCGGTGATAAACTCAAACAGCAGTGCACAACATTAATAACTATGAATCAGGCTCTCAAAAAGTATATAAAAATTTGGATATAGATTTATCAGCCAACATATTGGTTATCGGCTTTCAAAAAGAAAGAATTATCGGTTATTGGTATTGGCCAAAATTTTCATATCGGTGCATCCCTATTACTCAGTGTGTAAATGCATCTAAATGCCATTTCAGATGCAGCTTCTGTGTTTCCTCTGCACTGCAAAGATGAATTTTATTGATTGATACTTTCATTTGCTTGACAACAGCCCAAATGTCTTATTATAATTGACTGATTAAATATAAGAATTTGCCTCAAATGATAATGCACACTTTTAGAAAATTTTTTGTCAATATCGCACACCCCTAGCTGCCAGCCGTTCGGTGCAACTGGCAGAGCTGAATGTAAAATTTAACACCGCATACACCATTCTAAACCCTTACCAAAGAAGAACTTAACTTTAGGTTATTTACAAAAGAAATCTGTCAGTGTTCTTTTCATTTTCTCTCTTCTTCAGCCCTTTCTTTTTCTTGCGGTAGTTAGCGGAAAGCAGTGACTGAGAGATTGACAGCTAATATTAACCAATACAAAATCTGCATTAAAGTTAAGAATGTAAGGATAAAATCTGTTAATATATAATTTGTAGTTGTGGTGCTCCTAAATTTTTGGTGAGTGCTCCTAACTTTTTGAAGTTGGGAGCACCAGTGCTACCAAGTAAAAAAGTTAATTTCGAGCCCTGATATACAACAAAGAGTATATATATATATATATATAAAACACAAACGTTTAGACTACAATGGCCTAACAAACTATGGAACATAAAAGAAGAATTTGAGAAACATCAGTATTTTTTTGTTCATACAATGAAAGTCACTGGTAAACAAATCAGCTTGGTTACCAATATTCTTGTTTTTCTTCTGGTTACCAACATTCTTCATTATTTTCTTTTATGTTCCATGAACATATTTTTTGGGTGAACTATCACTTTATTTATTTATTTATTGAGTCATTAGCTGTGTTTCCATCTAGGCCTGGGCGATAAAACAGTATCGATATTTATCGACGGTACACCTTCTTCGATAACGATAGAAAAAATGTTCGATATAGTGCGCGATATAGGCACGTGCTATGAGTGACGCAGACAGCACACATGAACACATGCTGAATTGAATGCTGTGCCTGCCTGTGATGAGGAGATTGTGAATAAAAAATAAATAATTATATTAGTCGAATTTAAAATAAACATTTGCATTTGAATGCAAAAATACTACAATCAAACGTTAGGTGTGCATCACGGAGCATCATCAGTGGCACACGAGATGCGGTGATGATGATGTAAGTGACGTTGTTGCATTTGAATGTTTTGTTAGTCTAGCCCACGAGACACGCAGTTGCTGCATTATTAATTCAAAATATTAGAGAAATATAGAAGCTCAATGCTTAGAAGATCTTGATTAGGTTAAAACCAAAACCAAGCCATTCACACAGAACACAAATTCAGCGCATTTTTTAGACTAACAAATATGACTGCTGCACTTGCGTGTCACACAAGAGATGTATAGAAAGCCATGCAAAGTTAAAACAGTTTAAACTTTTAGAAAACACGTCACAAATTTGTGGAGGTTTATTCCTTTCCACTGCGTCTCATATGTTTTTAAAGGCAATCTGTGTAATGGTAGGGCCGGACAATAATTCAATATCAATATGTATCGCAATATAATTTTTTTCAATAACGGTGATATGATTTTTAAACACATTTCCGATATTTCGATATACATTACCAGTGTTTCTCATACTTTGATTTATTTGTGGAGTTTGACTTGTGGTGTTTTATATGAATGCATCTCTGAAGGGAACCGACTGTCTTCAGAATAGTTTAGATGGCATTTTTATCTGAAAAAGTAGCGTTCATGAGCGGAGCTGCTTTATTTACAGCCATTACTGGAGAAACCGTTAGTTCCACCGCTTTCACAGCGCCTCCTGCTGGCAGACAAGCAGTTTGCATTTTCAATAATAAACCCATTTCCAGCAACATGCTTTTGTTGTTGCTCTATTTTTTTGTTTTCTGAAGCAACTCGGAGCATGTTTCAAACTCGTTATCCTGGTTAATGCACGTTTCAATCTATAAGAAAAATCAGCCTACACTACCAATCAAAGGTTTTTGAACTGCAAGATTTTTTATGTTTGTTAAAGAATTCTCTTCTGCTCACCAAGCCTGCATTTATTTGATCCAAAATGCACCAAAAGCAGTAACATTTTGAAATATTTTTACTATTTAAAATAACTGCTTTCTATTTGAATATATTTTAAAATGTAATTTATTCATGTGGTGTTAAACTGTAATGTATTTCTGTGATGCGCAGCTGTATTTTCAGCATCATTACTCCAGTCTTCATTGTCACATGATCTTCAGAAATCAGTATAATATGCTGATTTGCAGATTATCAATATTTGAGTAAATTATACTTTGATGAATAGAAAGATCCAAAGATCAGCATTTATCTGAAATAAAAAGGTTTTGTAACATTATACCATTATACATTCAAAAGCTCTTTT